GCTCCGCTTTCTATCACAAGATTTTCATGATAAGCATCCACACAAATGTGTGCAAAACATACACATTTAAACAGTGCATGCCCATGTATGCATCTATCCACCATCTGCTGCATGGCCCAATTAGGGTCGTCGGTGTGCTGAAGCCGATGTAAAGTGAGACTTTGTTCCACCCGAACCAAAGAGCAAAGCAACACATTAATCACCGGAAGTGAACTTTTCAGCCTTAATCCATATGTTTTGGTCACGACTGCATACATCACACAGAATGCATTGTGCTGGTGAAATAATTCAGTAGTCCCTCACTACTTCAAGGTTCGACTTTCGCGGATTCGCTCTTTCGTAGTTTTCCAATGATTGTCAACTTTAATATTACTCGTGATTGGGATGGTACGAGATAAAAAGTTAATGAAAACAATACTTCGGACAGACGCCACCATTTTGTAGTTTACTTTCAATAAGACTACACTGTAATAACACCAGTCAAAAAGAACTACACTACCCAGAAGACAACAGTGCTCAGTGTTTCCCCTATAACTTGCCATGGCGGGGTGCTCATCTCGTCTGTGATTTTTGTTGGGGGGGGGGGGAGAGACTGAGACGCATCCTGAGCTGCGCACACTGTTTGCACCAAAGCTATTTAATTAGCGCATCTGTATTGCAAGCTTTGCGCTATGTCAGTACTGACAGGTGGGTGTGGGGACGGGGGTGCATGTGTTTTGGTAGACGGGATGCTCCTTTCTGCTGATGGGGTGGGGCGCCCCATTTGTATAATGGTAGGGGAAACACTGGATGGATGGAAAGGGAAAGTCAGAAGTAACGAGCTATCTGTTGAAGTCCCAGAACTGGTAGGAAAGTTGCAAATAATCCTGAAGCTCAATTATCCACATGCACATCAACCTGGATGGGGTGGTGGACTTCATCGCTGCAGGGTAGGTCTGCTGAACCAGAACTAAGCTGCTGTTCTGGAGAGCTGGTAAAATTTTGCAGTACTGTACAGTACATATATGTATGTTGTTAAAATTACATAGGTTTAAGAGTTTAGAACATTGAAAGAGTGTGGGAAGGGTTTATAAAGCCTTAAAATATATAAATTCTAAAATAAATGTAGGGTTTTTAACCTATCTTGGTGGTGTGTGGACTGTAACCCCTGCGATAATCGAGGGACTACTTTATATACACTTTTTTAAGTATTTATGAGTTTCCTTGTGCCACAAACATTTTTTAGTAGAATAGGCAAATAACATATTAAGGCTAAGATGTGCATGTAGTCTGAGATCCCTTTAAACAGCTCTAGTTGTAAATTCAACTTAATTATTTAAAACTGCGCTCTTCTTTAAAATAAGTTACCTTTTTATATTTCAGTGCTTGTTCTTTGAGGACAAGGACATGAATTATGACACTCAAGGATCAAGCTTTCATCTAGGCTCTTGTTTCTTCACTAAACCCACTAACTAAAAGCAGAAGCGTAATAACTTGTGCTGTGTTAGAAAATTTTCTGTTTCTGGGTCATCAGCATGATTAGGCCTGAGCAGCGAAGCTGAGCAGGGAAGCGCTGCCAAGGCCTATTGTAATCGCTCTGTTCTGGCCCAAGCTGCAATTTTTTTCGTCAAATGAATTGGCATTTTGGGGGCCTTAACATATCCCAAAAGTCACCAAATTTGGCGGACGCATCAGGACTGTTAAAAAATTATGTATTGTAAGGGCGTGGCAAAAATCGCAACAGAAACAGCTCAAGAGCGCCACCTGGAAATTTTCTAAATACCCTCCGCATTAACCTTAGTTTGTCTTCGAAACATGAAATTTGGTAACTTGTCCAATTCCCCAAGATGCACAGAAAACCCTCTGGCACAAAAGTTGTACGATAAACAGGAAGGCGGCCATTTTGGAATGCCGGACCAATTTTTACACCTTTTTGGCGATTTAGCCTCCTCATTTGAACTCCTCCTCCTAGGGATTTCGCTCATTTGGTTTCAAACTTGGCTATTTTGGTCAAAACGCACGGGGGACGAAAAGTTATCAAAATGGTACGTTTTCGTGCATGCTGACGGGGCGGGGCCAGACCTCAAAATTTGGCATCTCGCCATGAAAAACGAAACGCTAATTGCTCCTACAGGAAAACTGTCTGACACATCAAACCTTCAGTGATTGATCCACATCCAGTCACCTGCAAGACTAAATGGTCAAATCATGACATCCCTTAAGCCACGCCCCCTGACAACAGGAAGTGTAAAGTTTTACATTGAACGGTCCCTATCTGACCCCTGTCACCTGATCATCATGATAATGTGTCCAGTGACCGAAGACATGTTGGTGTAACTTGCTTTTCAACAATGTGACAGTTTGGGGTGGAGCATGTGGGCGGCGCGGCGTGGCGAATAAGACGTAACGCCGTCTCCATACGCTTGGCTCTAAATTCCACAGATTTGAACCGAGGTGCACCAAAATCAGTATGATCGATCATTATCCACCCCTTGATCAGGAAGCCATGATAATTGCCCAATAGCCTCCACAGTGCCCCCTAGAATATTTTAAAACCTCAGCCCCAAACCATTTTTTGACCAATAATTCTGAAACTTGGTGAACATGTGTATCGTGTCAGGACCTATGAAAGTCTCTTGGAGCCCTGATCCAAAACCAACAGGAAGTCGGCCATTTTGGGTCAATGGGTAATTTTTGGGCATTTCTAGTTGCAAATTTTAACGAACTCCTCCTAGGGATTTTGAGTGATTGCCTTCAAACTTGGTTAATATGCCCTTAAGACATTGGAGAGTAAAAGTTATCAAAAGCTTTCGGTTTTTTTTGTTAAAGGGGCGTGGCCAGGCCTCCAAGTTGCGCTTCACGCCATAAATTTACAAATGCTATAACTTGCACATTGAAAAATCGAAATGCTACAAACTTGGCAAGACTCATCCCTGTTGGATGCCCGACTATCCACTGTGGTCATATTTTGACGTCATCAGACCAGGAAGTGTTTTTTTTACTTGGAATGGAATGCACCCTCTTTGACACCATTGACCTAATCAGGACAATCCTGTGTTAGAAGACGGATAAGATGGCCTGATTTGATTTAAAGTGCAAACCGTGTTTGCTGGAAGATGTGGGCGTGGCAGCGTGGCGAATCAAGAAGTGACGCTGTTGCAATACGTTTGGCTCTAAAATACACCGATTTCAGACGAGGTGCACCAAAAGCACTATGATTGATCATTATTCACCCCGTGAACAGGTCTCCATGACAAGTGGCCAATAGCCTCCACAGCGCCACCTACATTATTCTTACAGTTATAGTTCAGTGATACATCATCTGATCTGCACCAGATTTATTGTGCGTGATCAGTGAGCACTTCTACACACATTGATATTGTTGTTTAACATATGACTCTAGTGCACCCCCTAGATTATTCCAACAGTTATATCTCAAGGCTACAACATCCAATATGTACCAGATTTATTGTGCCTGATAAGTGAGCACTAGTAGATACATTGGTATTGTTGTTTAACTTTTGACTCAAGTGCGCCCCCTACATTATTTAAACTGTTACATCTCAGTGATACATCATCCGATCTGTACCAGATTTTTGGTACGTCATCTGTGTGCATGTCTAGATACATTGGTATTGTTCTTTAACATTTGACTCAAGTGCGCCCCCTAGATTAATCAAACTGTTATATCTCAATGATATATTATACGATCTGCACCAGATTTTTTGTGCATCATTATTGAGCACTTCTAGACACATTGGTATTGTTGTTTAACTTTTGACTCAAGTGCGCCCCCTTTCATATTGATATGGGCGGAAGGCGATTGCAAAGTTTGGGTATATGCGCACCCTGGTGGACGCGTGTGAGAATGGCATGAGAGCGTTTGCGACAGAGACTAGGAGACGTTGCTGGAGCACCTGCGATTAGGGGTGATGTCGAAGGTTCGGCGAATGCGCACCCCGGTGAACAGGCGTGGGACGTGAGCGAGAGCGATGGTGACTGGGCTGAGTCGCATGAGCTCCCACGGTCACTGTAAGGCTGGAGCGGCGCTTTGCTGTGAGGGCCTTCAATGCTGCTTGCAGCTTTAATTTGAACTTGTGACTCGTGTTAATATGGGTTACTGACTGATGATGACAAGGAGCAAAGTTAGACATTGAATCCCGTCTTTGAGCCACTTCCTCTCTCCCAAATCCTCTATCACACACACACGTTTCCAACACATCTAAACACAAAATGCACAAAATTACAGTGACATGTCTCTACAGGAAATTCTCTGTAATAATTATAAGATGTTGAAGAAGACAGCTGTACATCCTTGTGCTTGGCTGAGATGGCAGCTTCTTTGTTTTCTTCTGTTTCAGGTTGTTGTATCCATTGCTGTGGATCCAATGTGCTCTCTTGTTCTCGGTGCACAGTGTCCTTCACAGACGAGGACAACTCCGTGTTCTTGTCCAACTACAATGACGAGGTGAACAGCCGAGCTGAGCGGACATGTGGATTTTGTTTTTCTTTGCATTTAAACTTTTTTTGTTGTGGGAGAAAGACAACGTGTTGATTACTGCTCAGCCTTCAGCCCTCCTGGTTTATGCCCTTCTTTTCCATTCAGTCAGATTTGCTCATTTTTCCAAATAAATCATAACAGTTAACGTTGCTGTTTAAGTCACTGTCTGTAGTCTTTTTTGTTTTTTCTGATCTTTCAGAGCAAATCAGATAAATCCAGAAGATTGTAGAAGTGATTCCTGGACTATCTAGTCAATTTGAAGCTGTTCTTGAAGAACTACTGAAGATTTCTTCCAGAAACCTTTTTGGCACTAAGCAAACAGGAGTGTTATCGTGTGGCAACACCAGCTGCTTGGCTGCAACGTAACTGTATCGTAATTTCTAGTTTTTTTTTAAATCTTCAGTTGTACTTAAAACAAAGCTTTTACAGCTCTAACTAAACCCTTGCATCAGATTTTTGTTCAGTTCACACAAAGTATCAAAGCACAATTCTGTAGTTTTTGTTCATATCAGAATTTCCCTGATGAGTGGAAGTAAAATCGGGAAAATCTGCAAATAATCCAATCACATCCAGTGACACGAGATACAATTGTGCCAAAATTTCCTCCAATTCTTTCTGAGTTGGGACAGATTCTAGTTAATGGGAGATCAAAAAAAAATATATTCTTATAGCCACTCAACAGTCCCTGTTGATGTTTATGCTGCCTTTGCTGTTCTGACAGTGAGGTGAAGCTATAACGTGGTCTCGTACTCCAACCGCTCCTGCACCAGAGCATCATCTTTGTACTGCAGATGAGGTGGAGTTGCAGAACAGTCCATGGCCAGAATTGCTTTGCGTATGCTGCGATCCAGGACATGACGTTCCCAAGCAGGGTAGCGGTTCCTACATAGGTCAATTTTGATGACTGTCTCTTCTAGTCGTGGCGCACGCAACAACAATGTGGATGGTGCCGTGTGTCGCACCTGAAACACTGGCATGCAGCCATCCCGCTCCGTATATTTCCCGGTGTCGCGTTCCAGGGTAGTGGTGGTTGTGGCGCCTCGGTTGGAACGCAGTGAGTTGGTTGCACCCTCAGAAGGTAATGTGGAGAACTGAGCAGATGGGTCCAAGTCTAGTTCTTGCCCACTCGATGAACGCCCAAAGCGAGGCCCATTGGGATGGAAAAAAGCATAGTACATCAGCATGAACACCAGACCGGTTAGGAAACAGCTGAAAATGACACAGAGGACTGGAACTGCAAAGGCGTCTGTAGTTTGAGGTGTTCGGTAAAGGTACCACAGTGCACCAAGAGCAGCATTCTCCCCCAGAATAACAAGGTAATAGATGAAGAGGCGACACCTGCAAAAGCAAAGGAGACATGACAAATTATGAATCAGATGCACTTTTATTTCCACATTATCAGAGAAAAAAAACAATGTAGCTATGTATTAGAAGTTGGGGTATATCCAACAATTTCTAGTCAGGTCATCTGAACATTTTTTTTTTTTGTGCTGAAACATTTCACCTTCCATCCAGAAGTCTTCATCAGTCTAAGGAAACGCACAACACAAAACTGATTCTCCACCCAACAGCTTACTCCAAGGTGGCAAAAAAGAGTTATGTTGGTGCTAAGATGGTCTCTGGGGCACGCCCTCTCCTCCGGTGCCGGCCCTCTTACTCGTCGACAGTCATGTCAAACTGGTTCAAAACAACAAAGTCCATTTGAATCAGTTTTGTGTTGTGTGTTTCCTTAGACCAATGAAGCCTTCTGGATGGAAGGTGAAATGTTTCAGCCCAAAAAAAATAGAAACTGTCCAGATGACCTGACTGAAAATTGTTGGATTGTATACCTGGATTATTGAGCATGGACTTTGTTAAGTTGGTGTATAATTTATTTTATTTGTCTCTCATCGTGAACATGAAATATTCTGAATCAAACCTCAAAAATCTATTTTTATGTTTGTTTGTGTTGCCACTTTAAGAGAACAGTTGATGTGTGGTGCCATATTGTCCCAGTAGTCACTATAATTACCATAGTGGGAACTAAAGTCTATGTATATATCTACACCTCCCAACTGCAATTTGTAAGTTGATGCTGGAATGGCACCAGTTGCTTTGATAGATGGTCCCAGTAAAAGTTTTAAGCTTCACAGCATCACAAAAACAAGGAATGACAAGGCCACTGCCATTAGGAGCAACAACCTGATAGAAGCAGAACTCAGAATGAAGATAGCAGCAATCCTCTCCAGTGCCAGTCCACTTCCTTCTTAAACCACAGGAAATAAACATCTCTCAGCCAGGACCAAACATCACCATTTTACCAGCTGACACAGGAAGATGCACAGTGGTCCCCAACACTTTTGATTACCAAGAAGAAGAAAAAAACACTACTAAGTGACAACACCACGTATTAAACCTTGAAAAGGATCAAACCAGCGCCTACAAAATGATCATAGACTACCTGCAAAAACTTGAAAAAGATAAGGTAATCAATCAATCATTTTACCACAGATTATATCCAGAGGAAGCCACTCCATATTTATATGGACGTTACAAAATACACAAAGAAGGAACCACTCAGACCTATCGTCAGCATAATAAACTCAGTAACATTTAATATTGCACTTTTTTGCTCCTCTTGTTGGAAACACACCACATAACAGTGAATGAGCTCCAAGAACTTTGCAAACAAGATTCAACATTTCAAGCTGGCTCCAGGAGAAACCTTTGAATCTTTTGATGTCCCTTGAATTTTAACTTGTATATGGTATATAGTTTATTCATTTAAAAAAAGTACAAAACAATTCCATAACAATATAAAAAAGGATACAAAAGATTTAAAATGAAAGGCAGCAGAAAGAAGAAAAAATCTTATTATATCTGCCCCTTTTTTTCAAACAATTATTTCAGACATAGTAATCTTCAAGTAACAGAACAAAATGAATAACTCTTTCTAATTTTTCTAATTCTAATACAAAACACACACTAAGCTACTTCATATATATTTTTTTAACAATTCAGTTTTGATCTTTTTCTTAAATGTACACATTGACTTGGCATTTTTCACATCACTCTCTAGACCATTCCACAATCCAACTCCTTGGATTGAGGTAGACCTTCCCTTCAGACTAGTTCTGAATTTTGGTTTGACAAATATCTCTATCCCCTTAAGATTGTAACAACTTTGTCTTTTAACAAAATTTCTTTGGATATTTAATGGTAATGTGTTATTTTGAGCCCTATACATAACTGATAAAATACTGAAATCTACCAAATCATGGAACTTCAATAACTTTAGTTGATAAAATAATGTGCTTGATGGGTGACAGTAATGCTTTCTGGTGATAACTCTTACAGCTCTTTTCTGTAAAATAAAAATAGGTTTTGTAAATGTTTTACACGCTTTCCCCCAAACATCAATGCAATAGATTAAATGTGGAACAATGATTGTGTTATACAACATGTACAGAGCTTTATCATTTAATAATTCCCTGACTTTGTATAGTACTGCAATAGATTTAGATATTTTTGTTTTTACAGAATTTATGTGATTTTTCCATGTTAGCTCTTCATCAATGATTACACCCAAAAATTTCATCTCATTAATTCTACAAATCTCAACACCCTCAATTTTAAATGGATCATCAACAGTTCTATTTTGTTACTAAATATCATGTATTTAGTTTTATCTAAATTTAATGATAATTTATTAAGTTTAAACCAAGTTTGTATTTTATCAAATTCTGTCTTCATCAATTCCAACATCCGTTTTACATCTTTACCCAAACAAAAGAATGTGGTGTCATCTGCAAAAAGGACACATTTGAGGAGTACTGATACATTCACTAAGTCATTCACATATAAAATAAATAACTTTGGTCCAAGTACAGAGCCTTGAGGAACTCCACAAGTGATATTGCACAGGTCAGATCTTACACCATTTATTTGTACAAACTGTTTTCTATATTTTAAATAGCTAGATACCCAGTGTAATGCTGGTCCTCTTATACCATATTTATTTAATTTTTCAAGGAGAATAGTGTGGTCAATAGTATCGAATGCTTTTTTTAAATCAACAAAAATACTAACACAATACTGTTTTTGATCGACAGCAGTAGTTATTTGTTCTATTATTTCCATGAGAGCCATTGATGTAGAGTTTTTTGCTCTAAACCCATACTGACTGCTACTTAGAATGTTTTGTTTAGTAATAAATTTATCTAATCTGGTCACAAACAGTTTTTCTAGAATTTTTGAGAACTGTGGTAATAAGGATATTGGTCTATAATTATTGAACACACATTTATCACCATTTTTAAAGAGAGGAACTACCTTAGCTACTTTCATATTGTCTGGAAATATTCCTTTTGAAAATGATAAATTACAAATATATGTAAACGGCTCGATAACATAACTCATTATGTCCTTTACAAACATCAAATCCATGTCCACCCAGTCTTTTGATCTCTTATCTGTAAGATTTTTTACAACATTCATTATTTCTTCTTTGTCAGTTCCATTAAGAAAAATACTGTTGTCACAACTTATAACTGAATGGTTCACATTATTGTCTACTTTTGGTATTTTAGCAGGAAGGCTTGATCCAACGTTCACAAAATGATGATTAAATCCATTTACAATTTCATTTTCATCATGGATTTCATCGTCATCCTTCAAAAAATATTGTGAAATACCTGTTTTTGCTTTATGACTTTTCAGAACACTATTTATTACTCGCCATGTAGCTTTCATATCACCATTACTTTTATTTAATAAATCACTATAATATTCCTTCTTGTGTTTCCTTATAATCACTACTAATTTATTTTTATACTTCTTATATTTCTCTTTGGCCTCTTGTGTTCTCAATTTCAAGAAACATGTATACAAATAATTCTTTTTTTTAACAAGCATTTCTCAACCCTTTCGTCATCCATGGTTGGTCAACAACATTTCTCTTTGTACAATTATTTTGCACACAATTCTTTTAATACAGAGCTCCCAAAATGTTCATAAACTCATCATATGATCTGTTCACATCATCAGAATACACGTCTTTCCAGCTTTGTTTATGTAAATCATCTTTTAATTTGTCCATTGCTTTTTTTGATGTGTTTATTGTTTTTTCCTTAATTGTAATTTCTTTTGTAATGCTTTGATCTTTTTTATAAATCATGAAAACTGGTAAATGATCACTCAAATCATTCGTTAAAATACCTCCCATCACATCCCCATTTGTTACATTTGTGAAAATATTATCGATTATTGTAGCACTATGAGTTGTAATTCTTGTTGGTTTTGATATTAACGGATAAAGATTTAAACTACACAATGAATTTGTAAATGTACTGATGTTATTTGAATCTGTTTTATTTCCCAGGTCAATATTAAAGTCTCCACAGAAAAAAATGCTTTTATTAAAACTCTTGTCCAATAGTTGTACGATTTTATCAGTGAATATTTCTATATTTGATCCTGGAGATCGATATACACAACTTATTAATATGTTTTTATCATTCTTGTTTATTATTTCTATTGTTATTATTTCCATGATATTATCAACAATGATTGACATTTCATTAATTAATTTACATTTTATTTCATTTTTAACAAATAGAGCCACTCCACCACCTCTTTTGTTGCTTCTGTTCACATGATATAATTCATACCTTCCATGTGAACATTATTTGTGTTTTCATCGTTGAGCCACATCTCTGACAGTGCTATTATTGTAAAGGTTCTGTTTAGCTGTTTTAAATAATCTGTTATTTTGGATATATTTGCATTTAAACTTCTACTATTAAAGTGAATAATAGAGAGACCTCCATTTGTTATATTGATGTCATTAAACTGTTCTTCATTGTAATATTCACTGTCTTTTATTTCAGGGAAAAAATTTGTATCAATCGCATCTTCAACATTGTATATTTTAAACTCTAAGTCTTCGTATGTTGCCATGTTTAATGTATTTGTTTGTTTTATATTTTGTTAATTTCTTGTTTGTGAAGTTATGTCAATGATTTATCATCTGTCATCTCCAGAGCTCATTTTAGTTTTTCCAGATCTTTCAGGTCTTTTATTATTTTAGCCTGAGATCCTTCCTGTATTTTGATCCAGATGTTTCCATTTCTTGTCCAAGTTGATGCTATTTTTTTCTGTTTTTTCAACCACCTTGCTTCACGTGCAATATTTCCATTTTTTTTAGTTAGGTGTTCGTTTATGTAAACATTTGTTCCCTTCAGTTTTTTTGCTTGCATTATCACATTGTTTCTTGATTTCCTGCTAATGAACTTGATGACTATGGATGGTTTGGCTTTATCAGATTTGTTGGGCAGTGTGTGACAGATTGAAATGTCCTC